GGGGGAGGGCTTATTTTTTTGGGGGAGGGCTTATTTTAGTGCATGCGCTCCAAAGCCTGATTGGGCTTATCATCTGGGGCGGTCTTATTTTCAGGGAAACAGGGTACATTGAAGTCTGTGGCAGCAAGTTGTCCTCTCTCTTGGAGGGGAAGCAAAATAGCTTGTCCAGTTTGGAGAAAACTGTGGTCAGCTCAACTTGGGGACATATCTCCGAGCCACAGGATGCTCACATGTGCCCACCACCACCACTACCATTGCTGCCCCCGTGACTCACCATCACCGGAGTCCCACGCACTGCCTCCAGCCCCACGAATGCATTGCCATTGCTGACCAACCGCTGGCGCAGCTGCAGAGGCTTAGATGAGATGTAGCTGCAGTCAACATGGACCGAGATCACTTGGGTTTGAATGCTGACTGCCATTTTGTGCCACTTCAAGTCAAAAAGGGAGGTGATGCCTTTGCCAGCAAAGACTACGCCAATCACTTCCCCATGACGGTCCTTGGCCTGGAACTCCAGACTCCGCTCCTTGCTGTTGATCCCCAGGGAGAGCTGAAAATGTAGAAGGAAGAAGAGAGAGTGCCGATTAGAAGGATGTTCTAAAGCAGGGGTCTCCAATCTTGGCAACTTTAAGACTTATAGACTTCAACTCCCAGAATTCTTCATCCAGCAAAGCTGGCTTGGATTGCCTTGGATTGGGGTTATACATTCCTATATCCATTAGACCCAATGTTCTTCAATGGGCTCATGATTCCCGGATGGCTGGGCATTTTGGATTCGTCAAGACTCTACACCTCTTCAAGCAAAGCTGGCTGAGGAATTCTGGGAGTTGAAGTCCACAAGTCTTAAAGTTGTCAAGGTTGGAGACCCCTGTTCGAGAGAGAGAGAGAGAAAGAAAGAGAGAGAGTGGGGGAGGGAGGGAGGGAGAGACAAAGAGGGAGAGACAGGGGAGAATGGAAGCTGGAAGGCTGACCACTTAATGGAGAGAAAAGGACAGAAATTTATGAGAACTGATAAGTCAGAAGACTTGTAGCTAATGATCACAAATGGGACCAGATTTTCCATTACTGAACAAGGCGGTTGTTAAATGAGTTATGCCCACTTTTTATGACTCCCCCCCATGTTTGTTAAATGAATCACTGCTGATGTTAAACAAATCCAGCTGCAAAAGTTGAAAATACTCATTACGTGACCCCAGGAAGCTGGAACCATTGTAATTGCATGTCAAATGCTGGAGTTTGGTCCTATAAAGCTATGATGGTTGCAAGTGCGAGGAACCATCCTTGCTGCAACCATTGTAAATACATCTCAGGTGCCTGAGTTTCAACCATGAGACAGTGAGAGTGACTTATGACTGGTCACTTAGCGATCGTTCAAAGTTTTCACCTGGCTGAAAAATGAGACTTATGATCGTTTCTACTTCACTCCTTTGGCTACTTGAGGAAGGGGCTGCACTAGAAGACCTCCAAGATCTCTTCCAGTGCCCTGTCTTGTTCTGTTCTGTTCTATTTTCAATTTGATTCTCCTAGTCTATTCAATTCTATATTCTATTCTATTCTANGCAATAGCAATAGCAGTTAGACTTATATACCGCTTCATAGGGCTTTCAGCCCTCTCTAAGCGGTTTACAGACTCAGCATATTGCCCCCAACAATCTGGGTCCTCAAGAGGATGCCAACCTATTTCCTGAAGCATCTAAAGGCAGGACAAGAAGTAACAGATGAAAACCTATGAAGAAGAAATCCGACCTAGAACTAAGGACAAATTTCCTGACAGTGAGAATAATTAAGCAGTGGAACAGCTTGCGCTTGGAGGTTGTGGGGGCTTCATCACTTGAGACTTTCAAGAAGAGATTGCATTGCCATTTGTTAGAAATGGTGTAGGGTCTCCTACTTGAGCGGACGGGGAGGGGGTTGGACTAGATGACCTATAAGGTCCTTTCCAACTCTGTTAATCTGTTAAATCTGAATGGCTTGACTTCAGAAGTTATGGGGACTCCAACACTGGAGGTTTTAAAGAGAAGATTGGGCAGTCATTTGTCTGAAATAGCAGGGTCTCCTGCTATTCCAGTGGAGTTGGATTAGAAGACCTCCAAGGTCCCTTCCAACTCTGTTATTCTGTTAAATATTAAAAGACCCATAAGAGTTAATACATGGCTAACTAAATCTATCATAATACAAAACACTCTTGACTAAGCAAGTCAAATACTCATTAAGGCTGGTTTGAGGCACAGGTCATCATCTGGCAGATTTTAATCACTGCTGAATAAAATCTGGCATGATTGTATGTTGTAGCAGGATTAGTGTCCGCAAGCAACAGGGAGAAACAAAATTGACTTGTTGCACCCTGAGTATTTATTTAGTATTGGTGAAATGAGGCTAGTTGAATGTCTCTATAGTATAGGCACTAAAGAAGCACACACTATGTTGTTTCTGTGTGTCCAGAGTCTCAGGGACATATTCTTTCCAACTAGGGAATTTTCCTGCCTTCAAAACAGCAGAGAGGAAGGCATGAATTGAAGGAAAATCCAAGATCATGTGACAAAATTAACCAATTTTGTTGTATTTATTTTGTACAATGACAGTAAAGACTATAGTATACAAAATGCAGAATTTGTCTCTCTGCTTCTATCCATGACTTAGCATGCTGGCTAAGAAATTCTGTGAGTTGAAGTCCACAAGTCATAAAATGGCCATCCATCCCCACCCCTGACCAAATGTCACCTTTTGTCTAGCAAATCTCAAGCAAACATCTTCCATTTTAAGGACATCAGCCATGTAGGATGCAAGGAAAGAGGTGTACTAGTCTACTGTGATGTCCACTTGTTTAAGTGGAATTTATTTAAAAAAAAACATTGTTGTCAAATCAATCAAAAACAATCTTGGTTTATTTTGGGAAGCCCTTTCAACTATCAAGGTTGTGAAATGAAGGTTGCATTCATTTGTTTATTTCTTTGATGAGGTTTGAGGTTTGAGGTTTATTTTATTTATATGCTGCCCTATTCCCTGAGGGACTCAGGGCGGCTCACAAACCCAAAGTAGGGGGGAGGTAAACACAAAGAAACTACAACAGAAAAGTTACAAGGGAATTTAAAAGACAACCAACAGTCACACGATTCGAGAGG